AGAGATGCAGGCAAAATGTCAGGAAAGAATGCTTCTACAACATGGCCATACAGCTCAGAAAGCTCACAGCAACCCAGTGATTCCAGCCATGAAAACCTTTGAGAACACAGTGATATGGTTGTTGTTATTACTGATAGTATTCTTATTGATAATATTGCTGATATTATTAGTGTTAATATTGATAGTGTTTTTATTATTGTTAATATTATTATTAGTGATGTTATTGCTGATATTTTAATTAGTGCTATTGTTGCTGATATTAATATTCGTGATGTTATAATTACATCCTGTTTTTCTCTCTTGATTGAGAATTACTACTATTGTTATTTTTATTAACATTAATATTATATTCTGCTTTTCTCTCTGGATTGAGACCCAAAAGCAGCCCATCCCCTTTTTAAAGCAAGGCAATTTAAAAACCAACAATGTAGAAATATAGCAAAATATTAAAAAACAGAATTATGCCCACACTGCGATTAATTTCTGCAGTAATGACATCAGTCATAATAAGAATACTATCAATAATAATATCATCACTAATAATAATGCCAACAATATTATTATATCCCGCCTTTCTCTTTTGATTGAGAGATATTATTATTCATATTAATATATCCTGCTTTTCTCTCTGGATTGAGATTATTATTATTATTATTATTATTATTATTATATACTTTTCTCTCATGATTGAAAATTATTATTTTTATTATTATATTTATATCCTGCTTTTTTCTCATGATTGAGATTATATTATTATTATTATTATTATATTCTCCTTTTTGCTATAGAGAGATAATATTAGTATTACAATCTCTCAATCAAGAGAAAAGCAGAATATAATAATAATCTCTCAAGAGAAAAGCAGGGAAGAATAATAATAATCTCTCAATCAAGAGAGAAAAGTAGTATTTAATAATGATGATGATGATGATGATGATGTCATCCATAGCCGAACAGGACTTCAATGTCAAACCAAAAGCAGGATATAATAATAATAGTAGTAGTAGTGGTAGTAGTCAACCATTGCTTTCTATGCTCAAACAGGAATTTGAACTCAAACCACTTTCAAATCTTAAGGAATTTGGAGAATTTTCCTGCTTTAAATATCTGTTTTTTATGGATGGAAATGCTAGTTCAATTCTTATAGCTGCAAAGTAGAGTTTAATAGTTATTTTTAGTATTAATATCAATTATTTGCACCCCTCTTTTCTCCCAGGACTGGGTTGCCTTTGGTTCCTAGTTACTATATTGGGAAGACCTGGATATAAATCTAGATTGAGCCCTTGGTATCCCTTCGTGTTTACTTTTGGGTTCATCTCCACCGTTGAGTGAATGTCATTTGTCATGGATCTGGGGAGTTAGAGATTGATGACAAAATCATGTCCCACATTTATGCCTTCACCGCTTTTGTGTGTGTGTGTGTGGTCTTAATCGTTGCTGTTTTCTTTTACAGGACTACATTTGCCCAAGGTGTGAATCTGGCTTCATAGAAGAGCTTCCGGAGGAGTCTAGGTGACAATGCCCTTCCTTTCACTTGGAACGAACGCATGGAATGGTTGAGCTGTTTGTTTTGTTTTATTTTATTTTATTTTGTCATTGAACTTTTTATTGGGTTGTTTCATAGGTGAATTAAGGTGTAATATCGAAAGAGTGAGAACAATTATTAGATTTATTTTGTTTCGTTTTATGTTGTATTCTATTTTTTAGATTTTGTTTTATTACATTGTTGTATATATTATAAGGAGCCCCCGGTGGCGCAGTGGGTTAAAGCACTGAGCTGCTGAGCTTGTTGATCAAAAGG